GACTGGGGCAACACAAATGGTAAAAAGTGAGGCATGTGAGCTGTGAGAGTTGGTAGAAGAGTGGGGGCAACATAGCAGTAAAAGAGTGGGGCAAAAGAGTTGGTGTAAGAGTGGGAACAGCATAGCTGGTAGGAGAGAGGGGCAACATAGCAGGTAGAAGGGTAGGGCAACATAGGTGGTAGAAGAGTAGGGCAAATTTATTAAATTATTTGTTTAATTTAAAAATTAATGCAATTTTTTTTAATGTATTACATTAATTATTTTTTAAATTGTTGAGCTCTGACAGGAATACATTTTAAGAGCTCCAGGCAAAAAGACCCTGCTCGAGAGCTCCAAGGTCCAGCTCTGCCCCAAATCCTGGCTACAGGCTACAGTAATCTGATATTACACCCACCAATACAAATTCTTTAATTTAATGAAATGTTACACACAAATGATACATTGTGCCATTTAAATCAAGCTTGATATGTCCAAATATGTAATGGCCATTGTATGCATTATGTTGTGGGTATCTGTACTGACTGTACTGTTTACTTTTTTGTTACACGTGTATCACCTGTGTATCACCTGGAACAACTGTACAGACTAAGTTATGATTAGGAACTATAAAAGACCTATTTAATTTAAATTAATACTTATTAAAAAGTAACATTATTGAAATTATTAATAAATATTATTATAACAACTGTTACCTTAAATCTTAAGTTTATTTATGATTTTGTGGTACATATTCTTATTTCTGATGCACCCTAATTACAATCTGAGAATCGCTGATAACTTATATTTATAGTTACTTATATCTTTTTATTATTTATATTCAACAATTTGTTTTTGAAAAGTTAAGTTTGAGTTTGGTTCTTTGAGTTTGATTTGTATTTAACTTAATGTCATTTTCATTTATCATCATTTGATTACTCATTTACTGCTAAGCATTAAGCAGCTATGGGCCAAGGCCAAGGCTAACTAAATTTACTAAAGCAGTGTCAGTGAGTAATAAATGACCAGATGTTCAACTTCTCCACGGCTTCTGTTTCTACTTCTACATTAACACTACACTACACTTCTCCAATGCCAATTACAGTGACTGGGTCAAATAATTACAGTTACATAAGTTACATACTACAGACACTACAGCGAGTGTCTGATTCTACTAACAGTTGCGGCAGTTACAGTCAAAAGCAGTCGGCGGCAGTAAGTTTGTGACTGGTTAAAATGGTTTTTTCCTTATAAAATTATGGTACATAATTATAATATCAAGAAACTTCATTACCGGTAATCAAGTTAAATGAGTTTAAAATAAGAGAGTAAGAGACTAACCTCTGCAAAATTTAACTTTGGAAGGAACGTTGGCTATTAGTTAGTAACTTATTTGAATATATTTTAATATTTCTTCTGAATTACGGTTTTTAATTTTTCTTTACACTAAAGAGCTCTTACTTGGCTCTTTGTATATTTTCTATTTTCGAACTTAGTATTATTTTAGTTTAGTTATTTTATTTTTCGGAAGTAGCCTAATTATCAAAGTGGGCTCTGATACTGTATTTTCAAATGAAACTTCTGCGATTCTGAAAAAAATAAATGCGTGTTACAGCAATCACTGAGCAATCCCAATTTTTGCGCTAGTTCGGATATCACGAAATTACCGCTTTTTAAATCCTATGTAAATGTATATTAAATTCGCTTTTGTTCATGTGTTTCTGACTCGGTTACAAAATCTTTGGATGGCTTATTGACCCACTTCCCACCAATCTATCGAGCTGAAACTTGATCTTAAACTTGTTGCCGATTACAACACATTCTATTCTATCACATTTTCAGTCCCACCCCCCTCCCCCAACTTAAAACTTTGAAATATTAAAAAAGTGTATTGTTTTACCGTAACAGTAACATTATGTGAATGTTAAGAAACACGTATTCCAATATGAGACACGCACAATGAATAGAAATAAATATTTCAATGATGGAAACAAAGTCAAAAAGATTTGAAAAAAAAAACTTGTATGCCCTATATGTAATGCCGGCTCCAGAGGCGTAGCGAGGGGGGTGCAGGGGGGGACAGATGTTCCCGGGCGCCAGATAGTTAGGGGCGCCAAAATGTGCTTTGATATTATTTTATTGATGAAAATAATGGGTTTGAGAGTTAAGAAAAAGGGGCGCTTTAAAATGGATCTTGTTCCCGGGCGCGAATCTTGTCCCCGGGCGCCAAACACCCTTGCCACTCCGCTGGCGGCTCAAAGTACCGGCAACTCTGACAGTTGCCCCGGACGCCATGTGCTTGGGGCGCCATCAACGATCTTCCAAAATAGGAAAAATCATTGCATGAGGGTGCCATGGATTAAAATAGAAATTTGCAATAAAAAGATTTGCTGATCTAAAGACTAGAAAAAAAGTTCACCGGTAGGGTTATTGTTCATACTGACCTCGGTAGGCTAATTGTTCATACTGCCAACCAGGGTTTCTTCAGCTATATCTCTGGGGGGGGGGGGCAGTGCCCCCCCGGGGAAAGCCAAGTGCTCCCCCCCCCGAGCAAAAATATTTCCAACAATAAATCAACTTGCACTGCCCCCCCCCCC